ACAAATATGTCATTTAAATGTCGACAATAACAAGTTGTTTCTTCAATTGCATGCTTCATCTGTGTTCTTTCAAGGTTGGACATGAATGTATCTGCTAAAACAGGGCTAAGTAGACTGCCCCTGGGCTACACCATCTATTTGGCAGTAAAGAATGGTGTCAAACTACAATAAAACTTTCAAACTTCATCATTTGATAATCTGACTTACTCGTTTCAGCATAGAACTTTGAAAATAAGTTCAGAAGTTCAAGTTGCCACGCTCCCTAAACATAGCACACAAAAGAAGGCAAAAGAAAGCAAAAACACAGATTAAAAAGAACAACAGTAAGTAGACATATTAGGAAGAAAGAGCTGTAATTTTGAAAAACAATAATGTTTAATGGATATACTAGGTTACAAGGAGTAAATGTATCTGCGCCATCATTGAGAACGATTTCGAGCCATATTACTGATAACTGTCTCCTGCCATCATTGGTTCTTAGTATCTTGATTACTCCAATCAGATAGCCTACGCGCCTCAAACATACTATCGAACATTCCATGGCTTGATTTCATGTTTTGGTTTGATTACCACTAGCTCTTTTCCAACCTGATCCTATGTTAGCTAACATTGCCCGTCGTCGAGGAAGGCGATCGATGGCTAGGCTAGGCATGTGTAACGCATGTCCTTGCCATTTCAATCGTTGTAATTTCACAACCTCATAGAACTTCATTATTTAGGTGGTATTCAGATGACGAGGATATCAAAGCGAGGATCGATCGGGAGAGCAAGGCAAGCTTTCATTACTCTTAAGTCTATGTGGAGATCAACAGCACTGCTCAGCATAAAAAATAAGATCCGGATTTTCAACTCCAACGTGAAGTCAGTGACACTATACATATCAGAGACAGTCTTGGAGCGTCAAAAAGGGCATTCCTAACAACCTACAGACTTTCATCAACAACTGTCTTCGCTCAATACCACTCAAGATCAGATGGCCGGCTAGAAAAGATGAGCAACAGAGATCTCTGGCAATGAACGAACCAACCAAGCAGGAACCAACTGTGCAACAAATATGCAGGAAGAAATGGAGGAGGATTAGTGGTCATACTCTGAGAATACAAGCCACCATACGCCAGACCGTCGCTCTAGTGAAACCCGAATGGGAAGCGTCGAGTTGGTCGTCAGTGCGAGGGTGACATAGAGGAGATGAAAACATATGGGTAGACGTGGAGTCAGGTGAAAACGTGGGGGGAGAACCGAGCGCAATTGAGACGTGCGACTGAAGCCCTATGTTCCTCTAGGAACTAAAGGAAACAATAATAATAATAATAAAACAGCTGGCAAGATGCTGACAAAACATATCTTCAGTGCAAGTTTTGCAATTAAATCATGGAGCTCAGAGAATGCAATCCAATTAAAATCATCCACCCACCCACCTGAAATACACATCTTCTCTACTATTTGAAAAGCCTCATTTTGTGATAACATAAACTGATTACTTATGCTTAGTTAGGTAATCTTATGAAGCAGTTTCAAACGGTGACGCTGTTAGGTAATTTTCGGTAGGCCGTAAGTAGCAGCGGGATCCAGTATGCCCACTTCGTTCTATTTGGCACACTTCAGCGATCCACTCTGAGCAATGATGGTGTTCCCACTGACAGTCGAACCCGATACTCATCGCTTCAAAGGCCAATGTAATAGTCACAAGACATCGAGAGCCATTTCTCTTGTGAAATCTGCATCAATTATAATTTTTAATTTAAGTCAATTTTGATTTTTCTCTTAACTGATGATTGGACCAAAATGTCTGTTTGAAACGACGACTAGAGTGTGTTCGAGTTTCACGGGAAACATCATCATCACTCACTCATTCACTTCACTGGGGATTGCAGGTACATTTAGCTGACATGAGTCCTGAATAGGAAATCTTTATGTTACAATTAAGAAGCCTTAAGAAAGGTATTTGAGGCAGTATTATGAATGCCATAAAAGTTTGAGTTTTAACAGTACCTACTATAAGAACTAATGTTTACAAATTCATTTCTCAAAAAAATATTCGCCGATTTATACTATTATGAGTGTTGTATTGAAATTCAGTGATATAAAAATATAAGCAATCAATAATTTGTACTGTTTGTTTGTCTTATTTACTCAATAGAATGTTTGTTTTGCCTACTTGTCCAATGGTATTCATCAATTCTTATTGTCTTTTTGACATATCTAACTTAATCTTCGCTTAAATTTGACAAATAGAGGTCAGTAGAAGAATTAATTGTAAACTATGATACCTTATTTGTTATTTTGTTGATGACACTAAGCACTAGACATACGATACTGGTTACTCCCCAGTGATTAATCAATATTTGTGCGTGTATGTGCGTGTGTGTGATGACCATTGCAGTCCGACAGGAGGTGAATTATAGACCCTAATAGTTCAGTGTTAATTTCTCTGAATGCAGAAACCGATGATATGAATTTGAATCACCATAGGGTAAGAGGAGGCAGTTTCTGGGGAAGATGTTGGTTGGAGGGTTGCGTTCATCCACTTAGTATTAACTGGGAGGACTTTTACTTCAAGTCCTCGAGGCACTAAGCACTTAGTGGCTTGGGACTGTTGGTGATATGGCTTGAAATCACTGTCTATATGGCAGATGCATTCAGTCTTTATTATCTCTGAGATCCATTAAGTTCTAACGTCTTCCTCATGTGATTGTTATTTCTTGTTTAATTTTCTGCTTATTATGGTTCTTCTGAATTTATTTCCTCTCTTTTCCCTACCTTTTTATGCTGTATGAAGTGTGTCAACTTGAACTGGTGCACGTCTTTGTAAAGTTAGTCAAATGTACTGACTGCCTTATTGATGTAAGTATAAAACTTGGGCACTGTGGTAGAGTATAAATCCATTATGGATAAGATTTTATTTTGATAAAGTGTCACACAGTGTTATACAGTACTATTAACTGATGACCACGTTTCGAGCACAAACTATTGCTCATAATCATATCAAGTTACTGATGACATCATCAGTAAATATTACTGTATAACACTGTGAGACTTTATGAAAATAAATTTTACCCATAATGGAATTATACTCTATACCACAGTGCACAGGTTTTATTCTTATATCAGTGTTGTCGATTTCAATGACTAATGAAGCCTTGTTTTGGTTTAACCACCAACCACTAGCTCTTCTCCATCCTGATTGACCCTATGTCGTCAGCTAACATGGCCCTTTGTCGAGGAAGACAATCGATGGCTAGGCGTGCATGCGTAACACATGTCCTAACCCTTCTCTTTCAAACGATGCAGCTTCCCAACCTCGTCGATTGATTTCCCCTCCTTACCTAGCACTCGATGCCTAATCTCAATATTGCTCAAACTATTCATGCCACCTACCACGGGAGATAGAACGCAGACACATATGATCAAGGACAGTTGGCTGATCTTTTCGTGTCTTGCTCACAGCTAACCATAAAGGAGGTGGATGGAATGAACTTCTGAGCAGTACACACGTCATTTGATCGATAGCCAGTCAACTGGTTACCATGTCTACTAATCCAGAGGTGGCGTAAGTTGGCAGGTGGCAGACGAGCCTTTTTTATACATTCTGACATTTCGTTAGTGAATAACTCGCTTGGGCTGTTGCAACTTACCGTCCAAGTAAGTGAATTGGTCAACACGCTCCACCACCTCAGTCTTACCTGTCTTTAAGCTAAGAGTGATTCGATGTTGTTCAGTCTATTTCTGTAGCCTTATCACCTTACATTTGATGGTAGTGAATCGGATGCCAAACATGTAAAGATTTCTTGCTGCTCAAGGTGTTCAGAAGACTCTGCATGTTGTCAGTATCTTCACCTACAAGGACTATATTTAAGTCAACGAAATCATTCCCTGATAGTGACAAGTCAATCTCTGAGTCGCTTAAGTCAGTTAGTATTAAGTTCATCAGTATATCTTTAATGAAATTAAACAGAAATGTGGATAGTTGTGGGTATCCCTGAGGGGCACCATTGGTTGTCACCACTTCAGATGTGCTATAGTATTTACTACATTCAGTTAACAGAATCATTCATGTGCCAAGTCGATTAGTATTCAACTGTTTGTATCCCTATATGCGGTGGTGGTTCAGTGAAACAGAGTGAATGCTCGCCAACCACGCAAGTGGTCCGATTTCAATCCCCCGCTGACGCACACTTCAATGTCACTTAACTGACAGTAAGCTCAGTAAAGAAGGAAGGCTGGGTGTGAGACTAGCGACCTCACCCCTAAAAACAAAAACTCCACTGCTGCTGAAACTTCAAACTGAAACTTGAAGCTCAATGTCCCACTCTGAACTCAAAGAAGTATATATGTATATACATATGTAACTGTCAAGTAAGGATGTGAAATGGTCAAACCATTTTTATTATTTAAGCTGACGGTTACTTGTTTTATTGTAGATATCGTGATCAACTTACATCAGATGGAAAATCACTGATAGTCAAATTGTAGTAGACAGGTTTTTCGTCCTAGTCTAGAACTCTCTGTCGATGCTATTCTGTTACCTTCCCTTTCTGTCTTGTGTCTCATGGGCGTTGTCATGCAGCATTTCAGTTAGGGGACTGGCCGAAACAGCTGTGGAGTGCTGCCTGGATTTCATGTATTTAACTGGGCCAACGTCCCAGTGGTAGAATGCTCGCTAGAAGTCCAAGGTGGATTCTTGCTTGATGAACTCCTAGATCTCGCCTAGAGTGTGAGGTTAGCAACACCATTTCAGCTTTTAAACTAGGCAAGACTTAGGAGTTCGTTCACTGGGAATTCAACCTGAACTGTCCCATATGGCTGGTAAGTATTGGTATTATTGAATAGCTGACGTATACAGTTACATGGTTATTTATGTACTTTAACTTCGATAAGCACAGATGGGACTTCCGGGTTATTTCTTTCACAGATTTATTCATTAATACATTGAATTCCACAAATCTGACTATTGTTCAATCACCTTTTTTCCTGTTCTTCTCCTTTTTTATTTTTCATAGAAAAGATACAATGTCTACAATGGAAACTGAAAAACCTGGTATGTGTGTGTTTTATACTTTAAATAACGACTAGAATGTATCTTTATGATTAAATTAATTCGTTTTGTATGCTTCTTGGTTAACCCGAAGATTTGAAACACGACACTGACTGATGATGTGAGATGTTCAAGAGTGTGTTCCAGGAGTGACTTTGTCACTGATGACATTCTTGTACCAGTTACGTGTTGGTAGGGATGTAGATGACTGTTGAATGACATCGCGCGCAACGCAGGCCATAGCTCGAGTGGCACCCCAATGGGAAACGACGAGTGGGTCATTAGTGTGAAAGTGACAGGGAGGAGATCGTGCAAGTTGGAGGAGGAAATGAGAGATTTCGGGGATTTGTGGGCCTAAATAAAGAAGACAGCAGAAAGTAGGACAAAGTAGAGATGTGTCGCTGAAGTTCATTCTTTCACTCGGAACCCATGGGGACAGTAACAATAATAATAAGGAAAAGTCTAAAATCGGTCGAATAATAATAGTGAAGATAAAATAACAAAAAGCTCAGCAGAGGTGACTTTTTGGCGATTTTGTCGTCATAAGCTGTAAAGCCTCATTTTCATACATACGTTTACGTGGTTGCAATTATTATTACCATTATTTAACTTCACATACTAATGAAGGAGATTACAGGTGATAATAATTTCCAGCTTGATCTGAATGGAGGTTTATTATTATTATTTCCTTTAATTCCTAGAGGAACATAGGTCTTCAGCCGTGCGTCTCCATTGCGTTCGGTTCTCTGCTAGAGTCTTCACCTGGTTCTGTAACAACAGAAGACAAGGGCCAGGCAACAGATCAGTTTTATTACGAAAACCAACAGGTATTTATATGTATTTTACGTACATTAATAGGCTTCTGCCCGCAGAAAGAAGGCGGTCTTCTGATTGGTTGTTTGCAAACAAAGGCAGTCTTCTTCTGCTTTCTCGTTTTCGATATTTCTCGGAAATGCGAGCCACTTGTCTGCGAATCATATTTGTCCACGTCTAGGTCAGCTGTGATCGGTTGTTGAATCAGCCTAGATTAATTTCTACCAATCAGCGTAGATCAATGTCTACCAATCGGCTAGCAGCTTGCTCTCACCACAGTTCCATGTCTGTCCACACGTTTTCATCTCCTCTCCACATGACCTCCTCCAAGTCACCCTTGTACTGACGACCAACTCGCCGCTTCCCCTTCGGCCGGGTTCCACTCAAGCAGTGGCTTGTCTAGTGATGTCACTTGGTGGTTAGTTTTCTCAGAGTATGGCCAGTTCATCTCCATTTCTTCCTGCCTCTTTGTTTCACAATCGGTTCCTGTTGGGTTGGTTCGCTCCCAGAGATCTCTCTTGCTGAACTTTTCTGGCCATCTGACCTTGAGTGGTATTGAGCGAAGACAACTGTTAATGAAGGTGTGTATTTTGTTTGAGATGCTGTTTATCACGCGCAGTGTAAGTCTCTGATCCGTATAGTGAGTAGCACTGACTGACTTCACATTGGAGTTGAAAATCCGGATCTTGTTTTTGATGCTGAGTAGTGCTGTTGACCTCCACACTGACTTGAGAGTAGTGAAAGCTTGTCTTGCTTTTCCGATTCTTGCTTTGACATCCTCGTCAATTCCGCCGGCCTGTAGTTGAAACGATGCTTCCCAGCTAGGTGGGTGAAGGAGGTTGTTTCTTTCAGGTTCCTCCCATTTATGCTCATCGTTGTCTGTTGTTGTTGTTGCTGTTGGTGGTGTTGACCAAGAATCTTCATCACCTGTGTTTTCTCTATGTTCACCTGAAGTCCTATCTTTGATACTTCTTCTGCCAACTTGTTGAATGAAGGTTTGAAGGTGTAAAATACAGATCACAAAAGGCATAGAAATAAAATTACGTTAGTATATTAATGCTATTATTGTTCCCTTGAGTTCTTAGTAGAACTTTGAACTGCAAGCTAGAGCTTTGAAGTTTCGGTAGCACTGGTTTTATCTTTACGGCGAGGTGACTGCTAGATTAACACCCAACCTTCCCTTTTTGCTGGACTTACTATGGGCTTAGCGGGCGAGGTTTAGGATTGCATCGGCAAGGGATCGAACCGGGGATCATGTGAAGCGTAGTTGACGAGCGTGCACCACCGAAACACAGACAAACTCTATTTGTCATAGTTCCTTTGAATTTTTTCTCCCCTTCTACCTATGTGTGCTCGTATGGAGTGTGGACCCTCTGAAAAATCAGTCGATCAAAGAAAAACACACTGATGCACGCCCTTTCTTCCTTTCTTTCCTATCAAGCTTTGTTTACCAATATAGTATAAGTAGTTTACCTATTACAATGAGCCAATGGAGCCGTGGTTGTACTACTGGTAAGTAGGCGGCTATAAAAGCAGTAAGGTGCTTCCCTCGGACGAGGTGAGGGGAAAACTGTTCCACCCGGACTTAACCCGCGATGGTCTGTAGTAAGGAGCACAACTCCAAAAGCCACTCCAACCAGGTAGTGTGTGTGTGTTCCCTTTGGACTCAGTGGTCACCCAACAGGAATGACGTTTCTGTTCCTGTTCAATTCACCATCAGCTTTATACAGTCAGTATGTCAAATCAATTTTTGTCAGTGACTTGACGAGACTGTATTATATGGTGCTTACCTTTATTCCAGTTCAAAATTGTGAATTTATTTCACTGCAAACTGTTCGTTAATTGTACAGGATCTTCAAGTTATCATTCGATAATATTATCATTTAAACCTGTATTGTTCTGTTCAAAGCACACTCCAATCTAGAGGAATTTTCTCCCTGACTGTCGCTCAAAAAAATCATATCAAATGGGTTAAAATATATTTATTAGTCCCGCGTGAGTGTCGATCGCGATTCAAGGTCATAATTAGATGATTAAAACAAATATGGACTAGAGTGCATTTTACTGATTCATTTTGCTAAACAGGAAGTTTGGTGGTGAAGCAGCCAAGTAAGTTAAGAAGGATGCCTCAAATTTACATGCGTACATATGACCTTGAGAGCACCAATCATATGAAAAAAGTGGTTCTTACGTGTAAAACATATGTGTTCATGAAAATAATCAATTAAGTGGCGTGAAAATGTTACACAGAATACCTTTCTCTCAAGTCTGACAAAACTGATTCTTAGTTTTGGATTGAAGTATCACCAGAGTGACCCTAACCACACTCTGTGCATATACTTACGGCGGTATTCTTCGCCTAACAATAACCCTAACGTTTTTCAAACCCAACCCTAACTTGAAAATATCCCTAACTTAATCCTAACCTAACTCGAACCAACCCTATTATCTCGTTTATTAGGTTAAAACCTAACCCTAACCTGTCCTTAGTGAGTCAGTGGCACAGCAGTAGAATCCTCACCAACCGCACCACACGTGGTTCGGGGTTCCATCCTCGGCCACCGACACACTCCTTTACCTCACTAAGTCAGTAATAAGACCTGTAAGGAGGAGGGAAGGTTGGGTATGAGGTTATCAACACCATCCCGTAAAAATGAACACCACTCCTACAGAAATTTCAAGCCTCTAGCCTGAAAGTGCCCTATGTTCCACAAGGAACGTGAATGAATAAAAAACACCTATCCTTACTTAGCATAATCCCTTAACTTAATCTTTCTCAAACCTAACCTGAAACTTGTCAGATATCCCATTTAATAACATAACACTTCATCGAACATATTTTATTCCTAATTACAATATTATGTACCAGATTTCACTAACTTGCTCATTGAGCGTTTCAAGGTCATTGGTGCGGTCGCGCTCCACTGATACACTTACTGATGCTTAAAGTTTAACTTGGACACAAATTTTTTCATTGACACAACAGATAACATGTATTTCTATAAAATTATACATGAAGTACGCCTAACAAACGTTACAAACAAAGGCAGAAATTAAACTTTATCAGACAACCAATGAAAGATTCTTTTGATTCAATGATAATCTGAATTTCTTGTTCCTCTTTTTCTGTTACATTTCTACACATTACCTATTTAAAAAGTTTCTTTCGTCAGAAAGAAAAAAACACACAATGGAGTGTTGTTAGGTTACATAATGGGGTGAAATTAAAATCAATACAATATATATATGCATACATATGCCATAGATTTTTATTTAGTGTTAACAGTGTTCTGTCCCATTCTCGATTCAATAAAATTCAACTGACTATTGAATAAGTAGTATATACAAATGTTTCTAAAAAAACGATGTAATAATGGTTAAATAAATAGAGTATGTGATGATTAGTTAAAGGCAGTCGTTAGGAATCCGTGGATGTAGCTAAGATTCTTGCTTATTCGCACTTATCAGTTAGGTGTATCTACGTGGATAAGGAGGAAAGTTTGGATTAGTTGTGTTCTGTGAGCTTCTAGTTAATTCAATTGTGAAGCCGGTTCTAAACAGCATCGCTTTAGTGCAGGTACTAGTATAAAATGAACTGATTTGAATTCTCCATGAATGATGATATAATTGAATCTCCCTAATGACAACCATTGTCATGAGTGGTTGTTGATTTACGTCTCTGCCAATCATTTTTATCAACTTGGAATTCGAACTGTCTTGTCACGTGCTTTACTTATTATTAGCTGATAATCAAGTATTGGTTTGTAGGGATTTCATTGGTTGGTTACAGGGTTTCATCATGAGCTGAAATCAGTTACAGAACCATTAGAAAACCAGCTGGGAGTACTGGACAGCTGCTTTGTCCTAGTTAGGGACTCTTCACCAGTGTGCATCCACCACAGAGGGCTCGAACCCAGGACCTTCTGGTTACAAAGCTAATAAGCGCGTAGACCACTAAGCCATTGGGACTCGATCCAACGGCCCATGAATTCCAACCTCTGCAAATTCATGACATAGGGCGACCGCTAGACAATGTCTTCGGCGAGTATTTGTCCTCACGCCCGACCTGCTGTGGCTTAATGGACTGTGAGCTCGCCTCGTAACCTGAAAGTCCTGAGTCCGAACTCCGGTGGGTGCATACTTCTGAAGAGTCCCAAACTAGGAAGGTACAGCTGTCCAGTACTCCTAGC